CCCGCGCCTCGCTCAGCCAGTGAGCGGGAACCGGTCTGTATGTGGGATCTGAACCCTCGGGCGGGAGCGCCACCGCGCTTCCCAAGCGGCGCACTTATCCAGTGCGCCACCGGGCCGGCCCCTCTCCTGCTGTCTTATGACAGGGGCTTCTACAGTCTGGCAGGGCTTGTGTGTAGGAAGCATATGCTCACAAAGTTTTTCTCAGAGCTCACAAATAAAACGCAATTTAAGAAACTGGGGTAAGATGGGTCTGTTCTGGATCTTGGCTGTGGTGGTGGTCACAGGTCTGTGCCTATTTGTCAGAACCCACAGAACCATGTACTGGAAAATGGTGAATTTTATATTCTATAAGTTACACTCCAATAAACCTGATTCACCTCAAAAGAAGAAAATCAAGTATAAAACCTAGAAGCTGCTGTGGTGGGCATCACAGGTTCCCATGTAGCCCAGCAAGGGAGGCAGTAAGAACAGGGCCAGGGTCAGGTGAAGAGGCTCTGGGGGCAGGGCGTACGTAAGGCAGGAGGGGCAAGGTCCTCGTGATTTCATTAACCACAGCCCCATCTCCTCCATTTAAATAGAGGATTTTTAAAGGATTTGGAATAAATACGTTCTAAATATATTATTATTATATGATAATAAATAGACCGCTAATTTTTCAAGCAAGTGCAGTAGGGAAAATACACCTGCTACACCTAAATGACACCAATTTACATCAACCCCAAAGAGGAAACAAAGGCGGGTTGCCCTGCGGACAATGTGGGGCTATGGGGCTTTCCTGACTGCTCAAGGCTCTGGAAAGTCCAGGGGGTAGTTTACTATTTCATCCCTAGAGGGATGCTTCCAGAGGGACCCAGAAACACATCTAACCTAATCTCAAAGTCCACTTTCACCACCAAACACACCCCAAAACACTCACAGGGGCTGAACTTAAAGTGTTAACTTCCACGTATTCCTCCCCATCTTCTTAAAATAGAGTGACATAACATGAACTTGATACTTTGATTTCTTTGCCTCCTCATCATATTCTATTTATCGTGGACCAGGAAGAAAAACACAACCTAAAACCTTAAAGCAAACTTTCTAGTAATTTAAGAATAAAAACCATAATCCTTAGTACCATGAGACACAAGTGGTGCTGAGGAGGGGGAGCCCATCGCCCCAGGTGGTGCTGAGGAGGGGGAGCCCATCCCCCCAAGTGGTGCTGAGGAGGGGGAGCCCATCCCCCCGGGTGGTGCTGAGGAGGGGGAGCCCATCCCCCCGGGTGGTGCTGAGGAGGGGGAGCCCATCCCCCCGGGTGGTGCTGAGGAGGGGGAGCCCATCCCCCCGGGTGGTGCTGAGGAGGGGGAGCCCATCCCCCCGGGTGGTGCTGAGGAGGGGGAGCCCATCCCCCCGGGTGGTGCTGAGGAGGGGGAGCCCATCCCCCCGGGTGGTGCTGAGGAGGGGGAGCCCATACCCCCAGGCGGTGCTGAGGAGGGGGAGCCCATCCCCCTGGGTGGCAGGACCCACCTGCAGGGAGAAGGTCAGGGCCAGGTCAGTCTCTACTTGTCCACTGGGGGGCAGCACAATCTCATGAGACCGCAGGATCCGTTTGGAGCCCTGTGTTGAAAGGAGACACTAAGTTCAATGAGAGCATCTAAAAGGAAACCTGCTACTGACACTGTTCTCCAGCACCCTTAAAACTGCCAGGATGAAGACACAGAAGGTGGTGGGTGGAGGCCCAAGCTAGAGTAACTCCTAGAGGCAGCACGGGGATATTTATCAGGAGGCTTAGAAAGGTTCATGTGCTCTAACCCACCGATTTCACCTCTAGGAATGTGCCCTGCCATTCAGGAGGGAAGATCAGGAGTGGTTACTGCCAAAGTTAATGCAACTGCCAAAAAGATACAGCAATAGGTTATGGGCTCTGGCGCACCATGACGCTAGTTCATTTGGAGGAACAATTGTGAGACGCCAAGTAGTTTTGCAAAAGTAGAATAATCCTGTCTGATTGGCTCTCCCAGAGAATAAAACGTAGTACGAAGGTATGATACCTCTATAAGGAGACATCATCACAAGGACAGAAACACCAGGAGACATCAAGAAACACAGCCAGGCTGGCTGGCGGCACACCTGGGAGAGTGTGGTGCTTATAAACACCAAGGTCAAGGGTTTGGATACCCAAACCAGCCAGCCACCAAAACAAAACAAAACACAAAACAGAAACAGACCCAAACGATACATGGACATATATATAAAAGCACGCAGTACATAATAAGGAAACGTTAACCAATCAGACAAGGGCCAGGACAGGCGGGCACGTGGGTGGAGCAGCGGGCTCTCAGCACAGGTGGGAGGCCCAGTGCAGGTGGCCTGCACAGCGACATGCGGAGCTCTGCTCAGACGTGCTCTGGGCCCACATCCCATCTGCCACAGCCCTGGATGTAGCCCCTCCCAGCCTTCCCTGCATGGCAGCCTGGGGCCCCTACTCCTCCCTTGGGGGGGACCCATCACAGACAGTTCCCCCCAAGTCTCTTTGCGTTAGACCCCATCTTAGCATCTGCTGCCCAGAGGACCTGAGTGGAAAGCAAGGCCAGGTGTGCAGACGCAGTCAGAGCGCTGCCCCTGGCAGGACCGAGACACCAGGGCGCAGCTAGGGTGGTGGTCTGAAATGTAGTCACAGAGAAGGCCAAGGACAGGCCGGGGAACGTGGGGCGGGGCCACAGCACCAAAGAGGGAAGGCCAGCAAGGCGCAGGTTTCCTTCAGCCCAGCCCAGCCCAGGGGTAGCAGGTGCAGGGTGGATAGCAGGTGACTGGGCAGAAAAGGACACCCAAGGGAAGCAGGAGCTGAGGGTCCGCGATGCCCGCATGGACACTGAGTTGAGAGTTGGCACGTGGGCAGCCGGGCCACAGGGATGCTGAGAGCCAAAAGCAGTATCTTCACCGAGGAAACATTTCTCAAATCTTTACTTAAAAGCGTAACGTTTTTCAGGGGTGGCCGTGGACTGCAACAGTATGACAGACCTCAGGCCTCCTCACACTCGCATCCCATCTCTCAGTGGGAGCAGGAGAGCCGGGCCTGAAGGCCTGCAGGGGGATGGAACGTGGGCTCCACCAGTGGCCCCGTGCCCACGCTGACCACCGGGGTTGGGGACAAGGCAGCGGCTGAGACCCACAGTCTCTAGGTGTCTGCAGCCTCCGGGAAGGGCCTTCCCACACGCCGAGGACTCAGCTCAGACTCACCCGTGAGCGTGGCTTGCCAGCGGTCTAGAGCCACCCCCGTGCCCTGGAAGTGGACCTGGAGCCCGTGGCCCCCCGAGTGGTGGAGGCAGCCCATTCAGCCGGGGGATGCCCCGACAGGTTGTGAGCCAAGGCTGTGCTGAGAGGGTCGTGCTCCCCCAGGAGGGGCAGACCTGGGCCGGGCCTGGCGGGAGACCAGCACACCCCGCCTGGAATGGCTGCTTGTTCAAAGCCTCAGACAGAACCAAACTACAGCTGGTGACAGGTTCCCGGAGCGCTTCTGCGAGAGGCTGGAACAGAGGCCCTGGGACCAGGGGCCCGAGGGGTTCCAGCCCAGAGCTCGCTCCCAACCCCCAGAGCTTCCCACTCTCCTCCCTCCAGCCAAGCCCCTCACCTGAGTGACAAGCAGGAAGCAAAGGCGGGTGGAGGGTGCGGGGCGGGGAGCGTAGGGCTGCTGGCCCTCCTGCAGGATAGGACTGCACCCAGAAGGGTCTCCAGCCCTGTGGCTGCCGGACCCAGCAGCCCAAGGTGGTGCTGGCTGGCCCACTTGCCGACCCACCTCCTGTGCATACACAGAGCCTGGTCCTGCGTCCTGCGCTGGCCACGTGGCACAAAGAAGAGCCTTACCTGCATCTTGACCGCAATCACCACTGAGATGAGCTCCTTCTCCAGCTCCTTGAAGACCACCAGCTTCTTCAGGGTCAGGCTGCACAACCTGCAGGGGCACAGGCACACTCAGCCCTCAGGGCCGCCTCTGCAGGACCCTCTGCAGCCCCCCAACACTGGGGCACCCCTGGAGACTGGCCGTCTCACCCCCCAGGTGCCCTTCCCTAGGCCCAGCCAGGCCACAGCCTCCCTCAGAGGCCCTGTGCCTGGCTGGTGCTCCCTGAGCACCCCAGGCTGTCAGGCCAGGGACCCTCTCCCATGGAGGTGGCTCAGTGCAGGTCTGTGGACAGGCAGCAGGGGGGATAGGCCACGGGTAGGAACAGGGAAGGCCCCAGCTGTGAGAGCACAGGCCTCCTCCACCCCCGCGGCCCTGTCCACCACACCACGGCTGAAGTGCACTTTCCTTTAACCTGCCTCCTGCTCATTTCACCTCCGCCACCATGTCCGGAAGCCTTCAGGAGTCATGGAGCTGCCTGCTGCCCCCGCCTGGGGACAGACTGGAGGACATGCCCTCGTGTCCAGCAGCTCTATCCCCAGGGAATGGAGGGGTGGAGACTCAGCCACCCACTCCATGCAGCGCTGCCGTCTGCACGTGCAGAGCACAGTGCGCGAGACTGCTATCCCTGTGCAAACGCACCTCTTCCCAGAGACACCTGCCACACTCACACACATGATAGGTCTCTGGAATGACCTGGCAGAGAGCCCATGGCACCTGCCCGCTCCCAAAGGCTTGTGTGCACACAGCACCAAATCAGCAAGCTTTCCAGAAGTTTCTCCACAGCTCTCTTTGAAGCCTGGCTCATTTCCTGCTTTCTCAGGGACAGCATCAGGTGTGGACCTTAAGCAACTAGAATGAAAAACCTGCCTAATTCAGACATCTGTCCATGTCCTGAGAGTCAGCCTCCTCCATGGCCTGACAAGCTTTAAAGTCTTCTTCATACTCAGCTTGTAACGAAGAAAAGAGTCAGGAGTTAAGTTAAGGCAGAGTCTCTTATGACCTGGAAGGAAGCCTGAAGGTGCCTGACAAGGTCTGAGTGCTGACCAGGGTAGGGTGAGGGCAGCCCACCAGCATGGACACCTACCCCAGTTTCACCCATCAGGGCCGCACAGATTCTGGTAGGCTCCATCTTACTGAGCCCACAAATTGCAAGAGAGAAAAAGATGGAGAATGCTAGCGATCAGACAGTGAATATGCACCAGGATGGACCATATCTGGGTTGTGGAACAACCCTTAACACATACAAAAGAACTGAACTCATACAAAGTCTGTACTCTGACCGAAACAGAGTCAGAGTAGAAATCAGTAATAGAAAGACAACTGGAAAATCCCCGATTACTTGGGAAACTAAACAACATGCTTCTACACAACCCATGGGTCAAAGAGGAAGTCTCAAAGGAAAATAGAAGATATTACGAATGGAATGAAAATGAAAATATGAAACATCAAAATGTGTGGGAGGGCCGGCCCGGTGGCACACTCGGTAGAGTGCGGCGCTTGGGAGTGCGGTGACGCTCCCGCCGAGGGTNATATTACGAATGGAATGAAAATGAAAATATGAAACATCAAAATGTGTGGGAGGGCCGGCCCGGTGGCACACTCGGTAGAGTGCGGCGCTTGGGAGTGCGGTGA